TTCCCCTCCTGAGTTCGGGAGGGACCGGCTCAGGGGCGAAGCATCCGCCTCGGAGACCCGATGCAGCGCCGATGGATCGGCGACAGGCCCCCGATGGCGAAGCCGCACCCTCGTGGGCGGGGCGGGCTACCTACCAGACCACACCAACCCAACCCGAAGACCCGAATTGAGGGGGACGTTTGGGAGGGACGTGCTCTCGAGTTGAGGGGGACGTTTGGGAGGGACCGGCTCAGGGGCGAAACATCAGCCTCGGATAGCCGATGCAGCGCCGATGGCTCGGCGACGAGCCCCCGATGGCGAAGCCGCACCCTCGTGGGCGGGGCGGGCCTACCTACCAGACCACACCAACCCAACCCGAAGACCCGAATTTCGGGTGGGGTGGGGGGTATGGGCTCCATGTGTGTTTTTCGATGTTCCCGGACCCACCCCCACTGGAAATGGAGGGCCACTTGAGGCCTTCGGGTTGGGTTGGGGTGGCTTGGTGGGTGGTGAGGGGCGGGCTGCCAGGCCCCTGTCGGCGATCAGTGGGCGATTGGGCATCGATGCACCCCCCCCTCAGCCTATGTGTATGGGGTTACAGTACAAAGGTACAGAACCCCTGATCCGTTGGTAGAGGAAAGGAGGGAAAGATGGATATCTTTTCCTCCTGCACGATCAAAGGCCTGATCGATCTAATCCAATGCCTGAGCCCAAACGGCCAGGCGCAGGAGAGGTGAGGATAAGGAGTATATATGAGGGTATTATACGGGTTCTATTCACAGCCTATGCGCCCACCCGACATTGCCCCCTTAGCTTCCGGGTCGTAACTCGGCTCCCGGGCGGCCCTTCGGGGAGATCGGGGCACCCCTGGCACGCTCTTTCGGCGAGGCGCAGCTGCTGGAAGGCATCCCGAATCCCGAGACTGGAAGTGAAGGGGCCCCGGGACACCAATTCGCCGGCCCAACGGGCCAGGGCGTGCTAAGATCTCCGGTACCTGGTTAACAGTATTCCTAGTTCGCGCGCGCGGGGCGGCCCCTGGGGGTCCCCGGGCGAAAAGTACCCCGGCAAGGTCCCGGCAAGTCCCCGGCAAGTCCCCGGCAAGGTCGGGTCAGAGATGCCGGAGTTCTGTTTCGGAGTCCAAGAGGGCTCCAGATCGGTCCAAGAGGGCCCCGAGAAGCTTTCTAGACGGTCCAAGAGAGGCCCGAGACGGCCAAAGATCGCCCGAAGACGCCCCAGATGGCCCCAAGACAGCCCAAGAGGCCTCCAAGACGCTCCAAGGGCCTTCCAAGAGGCCTCCGAAGAGGGCCCCAAGTTGCCAAAATCGTTGATTTTCATTGGTTTTTTATATGTTTTTTTGCGTTCTGGCCTTTTCGCTTCCGGACGCTCCAAGAGGGCCCAAGAGGCCTTCAAGACTGCTCCAAGACGGCCCACGAGGCTCCCAAGACGGCCCCGGAGCGGCCCAAGAGCGCCCCCCAGACGGCCCAAGTGCTGCCCAAGGCGGACCAAGAGGCCCCAAGACGGGCCCAAGAGGGGCTCAAGAAGGGAACCGAGAACTGAAAAATCGAGCCCTCCGCCCCAGAAGGCGCCCAGGACCCCGAAAGAGGCCCCAAGAGACTCTCCAAGACACCCCCAAGACGCCCCAATAAGCTCCCGTGAGGCCCCAAGAGGACCAACAACGTCAGGCCCCAGGCCCCAAGAGGACCAACAAATACCGCCAAGAGCCCGCCGAAAGCCCCCCAAGAGACCGTCACGAGAGCTCAGGAGGCCCCCTGGAGGCCTCCCGAGTTCTCCAAGAGGCCTAAAAAGAGACGCCAAGAGGCCCCAAACGGCCCCACCGAGGCTCCAAAAAGCCACGAACGCGCAAGCAAACGCCTGCGATGGCACAATACGGGCCGGCGGAATGAGCGAAGCGATAAATAAATACACACAGATAACAGGATTCCCAAGATTTTCACATATTTTCTGGGTGTTCGTCTTCCCCCCCACTTCCCATATTCTCCCATATTTTCCTGGGGATCGACGATTAATTGTGTCTGTGTGTTCTTTTTCCCTCCTAAGGAAGACCGCCGAGGACCGACGAGAACTTCCCACAGACCTCGAACGCCGAACCTCCAAAATGTTGCCCCCCCCCCTAACGCCCCCCCCCCCTGAATTGCTCGAGCCGCGGCCCGCGCCCGAGCCGCTCAGGCCTCCTCGGCGCGCTCCAGCAGCGCCGCGAGGCGCGCCGCCGAGGGCGCGCCCAGCCACCCGAAGGTTGGCCCGGCGGCAGGGCACCCGCGCCTCGCAGGACCAGCCGGCACCGACTCGGACCCGCCTCGAGTGTACAGTCGGGAGCGGCCAAGAGGGGGGTGTCCAAGAGTGGGGGTGCAAATCATGACCGGCGGCATGTGCGCGGCCCAGCGGGGGGGCCAGGGGCGTAATGAAACAAGAAGAGGCGCCACGAGATCTGGGGAAATGTCACGGCCCCCGCCATGTTATCCACCCCCCCCCCCCTAGTCATCACCCCCCTCTTTGCCGCCCC